GATGGGTAAACAATGGAAACAGTAAGAGACTTTATTTTGAGGGGTTCCAAAATCACTGCAGATGGTGACTGCAGCCATGAAATTAAAAGACGCTTGCTCCTTGGAAGAAAATTTATGACCAACCTAGACAGTGTATTAAAAAGCAGAGACATTACTTTCCCGATGAAGGTCCATCTAGTCAAAGCTATGATTTTTCCAGTAGTCATGTATGGATGTGAAAGTTGGACTATAAAGAAAGCTGAACGCTGAAGAATTGATGCTTTGAACTGTGGTGTTGGAGAAGACTCTTGAGAATCCCTTGGACTGCAAGGAGATCCAACCAGTCCATCCTAAAGGAGATCGGTCCTGGGTGTTCATTGGAAGGACTGATGTTGAAGCTGAAACCAATACTTTGGCCACCTGATGCAAAGAGCTAACTCATTGGAAAAGACCCTGATGCTGGGAAAGATTGAGAGCAGGAGGAGAAGGGGATGACAGGATGAGATGGTTGGATGGCATCACCGACTCAGTGGGCGCGAGTTTGAGTAAGCTTTGGCAGTTGGTGATGGACAGGGAAGCCTGACGTGCTGCAGTCCATGGGGTCACAAAGAGTCGGACATGACTGAGTGACTGAGCTGGAGTAGCATTTTAAAAACTGGGATCTAGAATTGTTCTCATTTTATCTGCAGGCAAGATTATCTGAAAATCTTCATAGAAAAAATAAAAATTACTCAAAATTGCTTATTCATCATGGGATGTATAGTTAAATTATGCATTATTGGCATAAAATGGAACTGTGAAATTGCGTGAAATTGTGGAAATGATTGTACTGTCTCATTCCATGAATGTTCATGGTTCCAGAAAAATTGCAAATGGCTCTTAATGTCTTTTAAAATAGTTTATGAAAAAAGACGTTAGAAAATTTCCTTTTCCTATGTGGAAAATGATAGCCAATTTTATGGATGATTATGATCACTTACTGAAGTTTCTTTTAAAATTAGTCTCGTTCTCTCTGAAAAATAAATGATATAACTAATAAGGAGGCATCCATATCTTATAGTGCTTTATATATTTTTAAAAAGGTTTATATTTTTTAAAAAGGTTTACATAACATCATTTTAAAATGTCAGTGATAAGTTGACCTTATAACAACATCACTAGGGTAGAATAAGTATGATCCCCATTTAACTGAGAAACTTGAAGCTTGAAGAAATTATTTTACCTAGGGTCAAAATTTCAATTTGAGTCCATCCTGTTACTTCAAGTCATATATCTTCTATGTGTTCAAAGAACATGGAACCATCTGTATTACCTTTTTCTGAGAAATAGTATTTAATCAGAGAAACATACTAGTAATTAGTTACCTAATAAATGTATTTATGTAGAAAAGTGAGCAATGAGAAAACACTCTGTATAGTTAAGGTACTTAACTCATTTAAAAATAATATAATTAAATAGTAGTATATTTTAAATTATTTATGAGAGCACTGCTAATTGTACTTGGCATAAGTACAACTGTTTTTGGCACTGTTAATTGTTATTGTACTTGGCATCTTTTTATTGTTCATTTGTAAATTTTTAGAAATTTATTTTAGCATTGCTTTTCCTGGAATATACAAATATATCTTGTATCTTCAGTATGATACTATATTTATTTTGTATAATATATTTTCAGAATCACATAATTGGTATTCTCTCTGTATGGTACAAAGCCTGGACTGTTTAGTAGAGAGTAAACAAAGCTAGTGCAAAATCATTAAAAAAATTTTTTTTGGCTGCCAGTTTTGACTGGTAAGATAGCCATGTATAGTTTAGAACTATGTATAGTTTAGAACTCTACCATGACAGTGGGAAAGCAGCTGTAGGCACACATGACGGAGCGGGCATAGCTTTGCTCCAATAAAACTTTGTTTACAAAGACAACCAGCAGCCATATCTGGGTTGCAGGCTCTAGTTTGCTGATCCCTGCATTAGAATATAAAATGAAATAGAAAGCTTCACCATAATATTTCCCTATTACTTATCAGATGTTTTGTTTTCTTTTCTTAAATTCTGTTTTAATTTAATGCTTTAATTCATAACCTCTATCCCCTTTAATTTCACCTTTTTATTCACATTTTTGTGCTCCTGAGCTTTTCATAATTTTCAGCTACTTTTCTGAGCTCTCTAACATTGTCACCTAACTGTCCAGCCTTCTGGTCAGGAACCCCCAAATCTAACCAATCTAACATGTACCAAGTTTTAGGAACGAGTGGTAGTAAGGAAATAGTGACATTGGGTATAAAGAAAAAAAATAGAATTCCATGGTTGTGGGTGGTCTTGGAAGACTTATTAAGAGAGGTTGAAAACTTGAGCTGACTCTCAATGACCAGAGGGAAATTAAATTAAAGAAAAAAAAAAAGAGAAGGTATTTCAATAAATAGTTGACAGGGGGAAGCTCACATATTGCTGCCTTCTCCCTTTTCATCCCCAGTTATATAGGATTCCTCGTATATTCCTTATATTCCTTAGTCTGGTCCTTTTGAAGATCATTTCAAGCATAGTGAAAACGTGTGACTTGTTTTCTTTGGGAATGGCATCTCCTTGGATGATCTCTTTTCTTCCACACACTTAGTAAGATGAAGAGGGAATGCATGCAGACATGCCCCGGGAAGGTCTGCAGCCTGTGGCCTAGACCAACTCTGTGTCAGGCCCTCTGGCAGATGGACTTCTCTCTGGCCAGTTGGTGTCTTTTTCCATAGTGCCCCCTCCAGTCTTTTTTGCATCTGTGTGGTAGACAGGTATCACCTTGAGGGAAGGGAATAGGAAACCACCCAGCTTTCTTGGTTGTAGGCTACCTTTAAGATTAAATGTGTAAATGAAAGGAGTCTTCCATGGGGATCTGTGTTAGCTCATTAGGAACATAACTTGGAATTTGAAATTAGGTTTATTTAAAAAAAGAGAGACACTGTGAATAAGCTTTTATTTGCCTTCTGTGCACCTAGCTTCCTGTGGTCCTTGTAGGAGAAAGGGTAGTTGCAGCCAGACAGAAGGTATCTTGCCATCTCTCAGTCTGTTTTCCTTTGGTATAATTGCATGTCATTCATGCTGTAAGAAAATAGATATAGCAGGCCCAGTGAAGTATGGTCAGGGGACTGGGTGTCTAAGACAGAGCCCTGTACAGAGAGAGTGAGGTCCTTGCAGTGGGGTAACTCCAGGGTGAATTCTTCCTTCTCCAGTGTAGCTTCAGGCCTCGCAGGTGCCAGCCTAGATTCAGCAGCAGGATCTGGAATGCCCGGGACCTGTGGAGAGCCAGGTGCTCCATCTCAGTTGCCTCAGGCTGCATAAACAAGTTCTCCACAAAAAGGGCCACTTCTGCATCATCATTTGACATTCTTGTTTTGTATTAAGCTTTGAATTCTGGTATGTATTTTATCCTTACGTGTGTTAGTCACTCAGTCATGTCTAACTCTTTGTGACCCCATGGCCTGTAGTCTGCCAGGCTCTTCTGTCCGTGGAATTCTCCAGGCAAGAATACTGGAGTGGGTTGCCATTCCCTTCTCCAGGGGATCTTCCCGACCCAGGGATTGAACCTGGGTCTCCTGCATTGCAGGCATATTCTTCACCATCTGAGCCACCAGGGAAGCGCCTGCATAATTGCAAATGTATTTGGTGCTGGGTTTCATTTCTAAATCCAGAGTAAGATCACATTAAAATGAACAAAGTTCCAGGACACTGATTTTTAGCTTCTGGATTGTTGGAGTGTATAGTTTTTATGGTTGTCTTTTTACTTCATAAAAAAGTAGGCACATCTCTAATAAGTCTTAAGTAACAGCTGTGGATGTGTCTGTTGGACCCCAGTGCTATAACGAAAGACATCAAGGAACATAAAGAGTGGGAGTGTTACTATAAAGGGAACACGTTGTCGTTGGAATTAGGTGAGGAGATCTCAGCGGAATCATTAAAACCCAAGGATGAAGATGCAAAGAAAGACCTGTACTTAGAACATTCTGGCTCTAGAAATTTGGCTTGCTTGGAAGCGGAAGGAAAATTAGTCAGTGAATAAAACCACAGCATTTGATAGGTGAACACAAAAGGGCTAATTGAATTTTGTGAGACCACTTAGGAGTGAAAAGGATCAGATTTAAAAACAGAGCGTAAGGGAATTAGAAAAGGAAATGTCTACATTTAAAATATACCAGACTTTAAGCAGTTAAACGAGACTTTGGGAAGACCCAGAGCTTCCCCTAATACACTGTACTCAGTTGCTCAGTTGTGTCCGACTCTTTGCGACCCCGTGGATTGTAGCCCGCCAGGCTTGACACTGACAGCAGCAATCCCGGGAGGCTCGGCGTGCTGGTATAAATCCTTTTGGAAGAGGTCATGGGGTGGAGGCCATCACCCCTATTATCAAACCGTAGTTTGGCCTCAGATCAAACTACTGGGAGGGAACACAGGCCCACCTATCAGCAGAAAATTGGGTTAAAGATTTACTGAGCATGGCCTTGCCCACCAGAGCAAGACTCAATTTTCCCCAGAGCCAGCCCCTCCCATCACGAAGCTTGCACAAGCCCCTTATCCTTATCCATCAGAGGGCAGACAGAATGAAAACCACAGTCACAGAAAACTAACCAAAATGATCAGGTGGATCACAGCTTTGTGTAACTGAATGAAACTCTGAGCCCTGCCGTGTGAGCTTACCCAAGATGGATGGGGCCACAGGAAAACTCCATTCTCATTCTCATTCTCTTCTTTGTCACTTTGCTCCTCACTGTTTCATTTCTAGGAAAAAATAAATCCTTAATTTTGAATGCTTTAAAATTCTGATTAAAGAGTCTTCACATGCAGATTTTAAGACTGGGCTAAGTAAATTTGCCAAGTAAATCTGTGAGTACAAAAGCAATGCATGAAGTTTTAGTATTTAGTATTTATCATAGCCAATATATGTACATAAAAAAATATCAACCCAAATGAATGAATTAACAATTAGAAAATAATATGGTTTACAGGATTCTTCTCCCTTTTTCTTCAAAACCATGCAGGTAATATATGCTTTGAACACTAAAAATGATGAGCATGAATCTGCAATTCAAGCCCTCAAGGATGCTCATGAAGAAGAAATCCAACAAATTCTTGCAGAAACAAGAGAGAAAATACTGCAGTATAAAAGCAGAGTAACCGAGGAGTTAGACCTTAGGAGAAAGATTCAAGTTTTAGAAGCATCCTTAGAAGATCACATAAAAGTGAAGCAGCAGGCTTTGACAGAATTTGAGGCTTATAAGCGTAGGGTGGAGGACATGCAGCTTTGCGCAGAGGCCCAGCATGTCCAGCGCATAGTGACCATGTCTAGAGAGGTTGAGGAGATTAGAAGGAGATTCGAGGAGAGATTACGGAGTTTTGGACAACTCCAGGTACAGTTTGAAAAAGACAAACGGTTGGCCCTGGAAGACTTGAGAACCGCTCACAGACGGGAGATCCAGGAGCTGCTGCAGTGCCGGCAGGATCACAGTGCCTCAGTCAGCAAGGGGCAGGAGAAGGCGGAGGAGCTGCACAGGGTGGAGGTGGAGGCCTTAAACAAGACCCTGGAGGAGCTCAGGCTCGAGCGGAAGCGGCTCATTGAGGATTATGAAGGCAAGTTGCACAAAGCTCAGTCCTTTTATGAGCATGAGCTGGATACTCTGAAAAGGTCACAGCTTTTTACAGCAGAAAGCCTCCAGGCTAGCAAAGAAAAGGAAGCAGATCTTAGAAAAGAATTTCAGGGACAAGAAGCCATTTTGCGAAAAACCATAGGAAAATTAAAGACAGAGTTACAGATGGTACAGGATGAAGCCGGAAGTCTTCGTGACAAATGCCAAAAGCTTCAAATAGCACTGGTTACAGCGGAAAACAACGTTCAGGTGAGTAAAGAATAGTACATTCAACACATGGATTTTTTTTTTCCCCCCAGTTTTGTCATTTTCTTTTTGATTGGGCCACTTACCCCCCCCCCCCCACATTTGGCATTTTTTCCACTTTTGTGAGAAAATCAATGGAAGGGTAATCTTTATTAGGACTTTATTTATTTTTACTAGGACTTCTCTGTAGCTCAAACAGTGAAGAATCTGCCTGCTATGCAGGAGACCGGGGTTTGATCCCTGGCTTGGAAAGTTCCTCTGGAGAAGGGAATGGCAATCCACTCCAATATTCTTGCCTGGAGAATCCCTTGAACAGAGAAGCCTGGCGGGCTACAGTCCATGGGGTCTCAGAGAGTCAAACACGACTGAGCAGCTAACACACACATAATCTTTATTACCCTGTAGCTGTCATTTCGTACAATTTCAGATATTAAAGGCCCCAAAAGATAAGCTTAAAACCTTGTTGATTGTTTACAAGAGAATTTTATTTAAATAATATATTAATATTTTCCCAGTGATTTGGGAAGTTTAAAATATTGGTCTTTACATTGGTCTTTACTAATGATGGTCTGTACATTCCTTGATATCCACACACTGAACAAAAAATTAAGATTGCTTTAAAAACCTGAATTAAATAGAAGTATGGAACAAGTCTGAAAAAAAAGCCAGAGTCTCTATGGAAAGTCACTTAGTTTATTGGCATAGAAAATTTCATAGGTGTGTTTTTAATATCTGTGCAGCATTTAAATATATTAGAAAGGGTTGCATAGCCAACATGAAGATCACAAGTTATGTGTCACGGATACAGACTGAAAAGTCTAGGTATTGTTAAGTTTAACTTTTGAGTAGGAGATAGTTGCTGCTGGGAGTTTGCGTGAATTATTTAGCTTACTATCATTCTTACATATTGATAATGGCTATTTGATCTTTCATAGGTTCTTCAAAAACAGCTTGACGATGCCAAGGAGGGAGAAATGGCCTTATTAAGCAGGCACAAGGAGGTGGAAAGTGAGCTGGCAGGAGCCAGAGAACGTTTACAACAACAAGCTTCAGATCTTGTCCTCAAAGCTAGTATGTCCGACCGTAGTTCTTAGTGTATTCCTCAGCTAAAACCAACACTTAAATGTTAATTCAAGATAAAACTAGCCTTTTTTACTTTCTCATATTTTAAAATTATTTAGGTTCTAAATATGTTAAAGGGTTCTGTTATGTTATTGATTAATCATAAGAGAAGCAAATTATAACTTTTAGGAATGTATTTCTATAAAAAATTAAGATTTATAGGTTTTTGTTATTTTTTAGTCTTTATTGAATTTTTGAATTTGTTGAATTTAAAGTATAATTTCTGTTGTATGTTTTGGTTTTTTTGGCCATGAGGCATGTGGAATCATAGTTCCCCAACCAGGGATCGAACCTGTACCCCCTGCATTGGACGGCAAAGTCTTAACCACTGGACTGTTAGAGAAGTCCCAAGAGTTATACGTTTTAGCACCAATAAGGCAGTCACTAAAAGGAAAGCACTCTAAGAGGCTTCTTTGTCCTTTTAAAACATAAATATTTTAAAGTGCTTAAATTAGTGGAACTGTATTTCAGTTATAGCAGCCTCATTTCATTTGGTTTATTAATAAGGATCATTGCATACTCTGAAGCTGGGCTGCCCCTCCTCATGTGACTCATGTGCCCAGAGGAGGAGGCTGATCCATCTCAAATCTGAAGTGACATTTTGCCGAGGTGTTTGGTGACGCCAGGGAGGCCTTTGAATGAGTTCTGAGGATGTCATCTGATTGATTGATTCATCAATCAATCAAATCAATCAATTGAATCCCAGATTACCCTGCCCCTGAAGTAGCAGCCTTTGAACTTTTATGTGTATGAGAATCACCTGGACAGCTTGTACAACCACAGGTGCTGGGCCCCAACCCCAGAGTTTCTGATGAGTAGGTCTGGGGTGGGCTTCATTTCTGACTGGTGGTCCCAGATACTGCCTGTGTTGTTGGTCCAGGGCACTTTGAGAGCCACTGTTCTAACGCTTGCCTTGAGAACTTTTTCTCATGTTCACTTTTCACCTCTCTAGCTCTGCTTATATCCTCCCCCTGCCCCCACCCCTTTTTTTGCTGTTGCCATTTATTTCAGTTTTTCATAACCTTGCTCTTCTTATCTGTCTCTTACTCTGCCTTAGTTCTTTATCAGATCTGTTGTCTAAAACAAATTTAGTTTCAACCAAACTGCTGCCTGCCACCTTTACTTGCTGCATTCAGATTTCTTCCTTTTTATGTTAGAATTTGGAAAAAAAGATTGGAAAAGAATAAGTTACTCATTTTAGTGCCACAGTGCTACTCAGCGCATCTTCTCTTTGTTTTACTCCCAAGACTTTTATATGTACCCTGAGGCGTTGTTTCTACTTCAACTTAAATAGCTTGAAATCTTCAGAAATTGTTGGAATGGTCCTTGGTGCAGGGAATAGCATCAATGATGTAATACATATTGTAATAAGTACTTGGATAATAAGTATTTCCAGGGTCAGTATTTCTATTGAAACAAAGAATTATTTGTACATGCAGACCATTTGTTTTACTTAGGTATTAAGTGCATTGTGTCATTAACTATAAACTATTTTGTACCACAAGGTAACAGATTTGAATTTGGGGCTTTCTTTGGGGATGTTAGGTCATATTGGAATGCTGCAAGCAACTCAAATGACCCAGGAGGTTACAATTAAAGATCTAGAATCAGAAAAATCAAGGGCCAATGAAAGATTATCTCAGCTTGAAGAAGAAAGAGCTTTTCTGCAAAGCAAAACTCAGAGTCTGGATGAGGAGCAGAAGCAGCGGATTTTGGACCTGGAGAAGGTAGAGTCTCGGAGGAAACCCCTCCCCGCCGCACCACCCATGAAAGGAAAGGAAGAAAAGTCCAGTTTTATTCTTTTTCAGATATGATTTAGAGTGTTTACTTCTGTTTCATAGTAACAGACTATTTCTTAACTATAGTAATTTTTCATGTTTATTTTGAGAAAAGGTATAAAGCTGGATTATCCCATATTGGGTATATGTTCAAAATATTTTTGATAACAGTCTGTAATGTAAAAACTTAGGACATTTCACCCTATTTCAGGCTAGAAGCTGAATAGGTGTGTGCTAAGTCGCTCAGTCGTGTCCAATTCTTTGCTATCCTGTGGACTGTAGCCCGCCAGGCTTCCCTGTCCATGGAATTCTCCAGGCAAGAATACTGGAGTGGGCTGCCTTGCCCTCCTCCAGAGGATCTTCCTGTCCTAGGGAGCAAACCCATGTCTCTTATGTCTCCTGCATTGGCAGGCGGGTACTTTTACCACCACACTACCTGGGAAACCCCTAAATGGAAGGTACATTATGGTTAATCATACTTAACTTTTCTATTCATGAAACATATTGTGTATACACCTAGGAAATGTCTATAAAACTGAAAAGGATGACAAGAACCATGCCCTGAAAATATATATACCAACATACTGAATTTCTAAATTAAATAAAACATGTCATATGTAGAGTAGTTGCTTGAATAATTTGTTCTAGTTTTTCACATATCTGCAATACCAGGTGGGAGCTTGAAACACTCTTTCTCCTTTCAACAGCCAGGCGTATTGAAAAATGTCTGTTCTCCTTGCTCACTTCCCGCTCGCTCCTCACCCAGTGCGGACCGGCTTCTCTCGTTACCAGCCCACAGGCTCGGCCTCGGCCTTCAGTGACGTTCTGGTCGCTGCACTCGGGGGGTCTTGTCTTCCTGGGGTTCTGACTTGTGTCTGGTTCGCAAGCATCTCTTTGGTTCTCTCACACTTTCCTCCGGTCTCCCTGGCCCTGCCGTCTTGTCTGGGAGCTTCCCTCCTCCGTCTGTGTTCCTCTGCTGTTCCTCTCGCACCCCATTCCGCAAGCCCATCCATCCCAGTGACTTGTTCAGTGGCAGCTCCCCAAACCATCCGTCTAGGCCAGATCTACCCCTTCTTCCTCCCTCCCCACTTCTCTGGTTGGACCCTGACTGGTACAGTGCTGTAGGTAGACGCTATGATCTCTGATGAGGGGCCCTTCATGTCTGAGCTGTGAAATGAAAAGACCTTGGGGATGATGGTGATAAAAAGACCCTTAAAATGTTGCATCTGAGTATTCAAGTAGGGTCCTGGCTTTTGGGCACCCCAAATCAGGGAGAGCTGAAGACAGGTTGGGATCCAGTCCTAGAATACTGCTCTGAGCTCTCAGCCCTCATACCACCATCCTTGTAGGGGAGGCTGGAAGGGAAGGGCTGAGGCCCCGGCTGGCCCAGGCCGGAAAGAAAGAGGCTGGGACTTTCTGTTTCCTCTATCTATACCTTCTGGCTTAGACAGGAAAGAAAGTCCAGTGCCTTACATTCAAGAATCTTCCTAGGGCTTTCCCCCTTTATCGGGCCTTGGGAATAATTATAATCTCTTACTATGTAAAATAATTGCTGCTGCTTGCTAACAACTATAAAATATAATACAGTGGGCTGGGAATATCGCTAAATATTTGGGGGCATATTATCTCATCTTTAGCAACCCTGTAACATAGGTTCTACCTTGTCACTCCCATTTCACAGATGGAAAAACCGAGGCTTATAGACATTATGCACTCACAGTTCCCACGGTCACGTGACTAAGTGGCAGAGCTGGAACCTGAACCCAGGGCAGTGAGGCTCCAAAACCCATGTTTCCACCTCTATGTTATGTTGCTTTCTGTGGCATGAGGACCTTGTATTTCCTCCTGGGTAGTTCCAGAGACTCACAGACTGGGCCAGGAGGTAGGAAGATGGCAGCTGCCATAGAGGCCAGACAGCAGGATGGCTCTGCCCACCCAGGAGGCATCAGTGACCCAGAGGAGGTGTGTCTGTCTTCCAATAGTCTTACAGAGCAGCAAGGGGGGGTTCTGCAGCAGCCCCTGGAGAGAATTCAGACATCTTTGAACCTCATTGTCTTCACCTTTCACTTTCTCACCTTCTTGTTCCGTAACATCCCATAACTTGTTGAAAGAATAGCCTTCATCCAATACCTCCATTTCCTCCTTTCTGTCTGGCTCCCCCCCTCACCCCACCTCCACTCTGTTGAACTGGATCCTAAGGCATCAGTGGGAACACCACCACCGCACCCAGAAGCTGTACCCGTTTTCTCAGCAGCACTCACCCATCTTGGCCCAGCATTTGTCTCTGCGATGCTGACCCCTCCTGGCTCTCCTCCTCCCCCGTCACTCACTCACGACTCCCTCACTGGCTCCTCCTTCTCCTGCTCCCTGATTTCAGGTCCTCCCCAGAGTTCTCCCTTTCTTTGTTTCCATTCTGCTCCTTCCCCCTCACAAGTTGTCTTAGTCTGCTGCGGCTGCGATCACAAAATGCCATAGCCTGGCTGGCTTAAACAACATTTAAAACTCAATGAATAAAAATTAAAAAAAAATTTTTTTTTAAATATCAGTCACTTAAAGCACAGTGATTTCTCATTCCCATCAGAACAGATTCCAGAGTCCTTAGCATAAAAGACGTCTGGTCATCATTTGACCCTGCCTGCTTCTGAGCCTCCCTCTCCACTCCCAGACTTGAATCCTGTGTTCTCTCCATGCTGCTCAGCTGCAGGGCCATCTAGCTCCCCAGCTTCACCACCTGGTGAGCTGCTTCTCAGCTTTCAGAATGCTGGACACGATTATGAATGCAGGCTTCAGACATCAGATCTAGATGTGAAGTTTTCTCACCTCTTGTTTCCTGATGGGCTTGTAAGAATTAAATGAGAATGTGTAAGTATCATCAGCTTAGCTGTGTTCCCTTCTGGAATGCCTTTCCTGACCTCGTTCCTTCTCTCTTTCTCTTACACCGCCCCCCCACATCGTCTCCCACCCCACCCAGATTAAGCGCCTTTCCTGTATACTCTCACAACACGTGATGTATGCTCCTTGCATAGAACTTAAATTGCCGCAGTCTTTTGACTTTTTTCATCATTGGACTGTTAATGCTTAAAAGGCCTATATTTGGCAGTTGACATAGTCGTATCGACTAATATCATTTGAGTGGGTATTGGTAAGCCATTTTGTGTACTAAGCCATTTTGTGTACCACTTCGACATGAAGGAAGCTTTTTTCTCTTAAGCCTGCAGAAGTGCTGACTCACACTTGGTTCTAACGTAATAATAGTGTATTTTATCATTGTCTTTAAAATTACTCATTTTGGCTATGCCACTTGTAGAACACCCAATGATGTATTCTCGGGTACCATGGTCTAATCCTGTACACCTCAGTTCATCCACGTTTATCTACTTAACTGAGTATTTAAAATACTAATAGCAATAATGAAAAAAGCAGATTGACCTTTATTTCTGTTCAATTTTAGAAAGTAAATGAGGCAAAGAAAACTCAGCAAGAATATTATGAGATGGAGCTAAAAAACCTGCAAAGTAGACTGGAAGGGGAGGTGGCTCAGTTGAATGAGGCCCATTCTAAGACTTTGGAAGAATTAGCTTGGAAGCACCACATGGCAATTGAGGCTGTCCACAGTAATGCGATTAGGGATAAGAAAAAACTGCAGATGGTGAGTAAATCTTCAGCTTCACATTGTATTATAAATTGGTGGACTTTCTATAATGACCTAGTTGCTATTTCCTAATCACTCTGAAAATCTCGGTTCAAAGGGTTCAAAGAATAACATACATAATAGTTCCTACAGGGGCTGTAGTTTATTAAATTGATATGAGGCATTTCTACTTTGAATAGCCATCATGGAAACACTCCCTTGATCTTGAGCTGTCTCTTCATCAGACAACAACATCGGTTTCTCCTCAGGAAGCCTCATTAGTTGGAGCACTTATTCTCCTGGAGACAGTTTCCTTCCCTGGGAAAATGATCTGTTTTTTGTTTTATTATTGCCCTTAATTAAGTAATAAGCTTGCTAATTGTAATACATGACAGCTAGAAATTATACAGTAGAAAAAGCAAGGTACCTGACAGATGGGGGCCTTAACACTGAGCCCTTTGCTTACTAGCTGCTTTTTCTTGGGTCCCAAAGGCTATTCCTGAGGCTGCTCATTTGAAGATGAAGATATTAGGTTGGTGCAAAAGTAATTGTGGTTTTATGTTGTTGAACTTTGCCATTTGATATTGGAATACATTCTTAAATAAATGTGGTTATGTTCTACATCATTGTAATGTGCATTTCTTGCTTTGTTTTTTGTTAATGATTTATTACTTGCTGTTTATTTTAGACTATAGAAATGATATTACACAGAAAGCAAATTCAGGCGATTTTCTTATTTGAGTTCAAAATGGGTCGTAAAGCAGTGGAGACAACTCGCAACATCAGCAGCGCATTTGGCCCAGAAACTTCTAATGAATGTACAGTGCAGTGGTGGTTTGAGAAGTTTTGCAAAGAAGATGAGAGCCTTGAAGATGAGGAGCACAGTGGCAGGCCATCAGAAGTTGACAGCGACCGATTGAGAGGATTAGTGAAGCTGATCTTCTTACAACAAGAAGTTGCTGAAGAAATCAAAGTCGACCATTCTGTGATCATTTGGCATTTGAAGCAAATTGGAAAGGTGAAGAATCTTAATAAGTGGGTGCCTCATGAGATGACCAAAAACCAAAAGAAATCATTGCTTTGAAGTGTTGTTTTCTCTTATTCTATGCAACAACAGTGAACCATTTCTTGATTGGATTGTGACGTGTGATGAAAAGTGGATTTTGTATGACAGCCAGCATCGACCAGCTCAGTAGTTGGACAGAGAAGTTCCAAAACACTTCCTAAAGCCAGACTTGCACCAAAAAAGGTCATGTTCACTGTTTGGTGGTCTGCTGCCCATCTGACCCGTTACAGCTTTCTGAATCCTGGCAAGCCCTTACGTCTGAGAAGTAAGCTCAGCAAATCAGTGAGATGCACCGAAAACTGCAATGCCTACAGCTGGCATTGGTCAACAGAAAGGGCCCAGTTCTTCTCCACAACAACGCCCAACCTCACATCATACAACCAACACTTCAAAAGTTGAATGAATTGGGCTATGAAGTTTTGCCTCACCTGCCATATTCCCCTGACCTCTCACCAACTGACTACCGCTTCTTCAAGCATCTCAGCAACTTTTTATAGAGAGAATGCTCCCATAACCAGCAGGAGGCAGAAAATACTTTCCAAGAGTTTGTCACATTCTAAAACATGGATTTTTATGCTACAGGAATAAACAAAATTGTTTCTTGTTAGAAAAAGTGTGTTGATTTCAATAGTTTCTATTTTGATTAATGAAGATGGGTTTGAGCCTAGTTATAATGATTTAAAATTCACGGTCCAAAACCAGTTACTTTTGTACCAACCTAATAAGATCCATCTTGTAATATCCCTAAGGATTAAGTGAGATAAAGTGTTAGGAATCGATACACATCTGAGCATATAGTGATAAATAAGTGTTAGTATTTCTTATCATGTTTACCTGACACTGCAGTGGTGTTTTACACTTGTTTTTTCATTTAGTTCTTGCAATGTTGCTGTTGGTTTGATTTCTGTACCCATCTTACTGAAGAGGGGTTAATACTTGCTTAAGCACATGCAGCTTAAGCACGAGTCAGTCAGGCCTGAATTCAGGTCTCAGATATCAAACCCTAAGGCATTTAGCCATCACCTCGTGTCGGCATGTATTAATGATAGCTGTTACATGTTTTATATAATAGCACTTTACAGTTTCCTAAAAGCTTTCTAGTTCTTGCCCAGCTAGTTTTATATCTGAGCCTAAGCTAAAACCATCCTCCTTCCAAATCATCTTTCTCCAGCGTCCTTTTATCTTTTAAAGAACACTTAGCTAAAAGTGACTTAGTTACCAAAAAGGGTATGAATATACAGAAAATCCACGCAGAAAAGAGAGAACGCAGTAGCCCTGAAAGTGCCATTCTTAGAAAACGTGGTACAGAATTGGCCATTGGCCTGGTGTTTGGAAGTTGATTTTCACGAGGATTCTCGCCATTTCCTGATGAGAGCGGCTCACTGTGCCTAAACTGTTTAACCGGACAGTATGCTTTATGCTGAACATGTGCTCTCATTCTTGGAGTCTGAAATTGTGGAACATACTAATCAAGGGGGTACTATGTGGCCAGCCCCCACTAAGAAACCCCGCACTGGGTCCCTGATGAGCTTTCCTAGTAAACAGTGTTTCACATGCATTGTCCCAGCTTGCTGGAGAGTTCTGTGTGAGAGGACTCGGAAGCTTGAGTCTGGTTTTCTGCGGACTTTGCCACCGGTGCCTTTTCTCTTTGCTGATTGTCCTTGTACCCTTTTGCTATAATACATCATAGCTGTGAGTATAATACATCAGCTGTGAGTCCTGAGAGACAGCCCCTTAAATCATCAGCCTGGGGTTTGTCTTGGGGACTCCCAACGCAGAATGCTGTTTATTAATATTAGTCTTCTCACCTTACACTGTAGAAGTACTTGTAATATGCTTTGTTCTCGTTCTTTGCTCCCTCCATGGTTGTTGCACATGCGTTTTCTTCTGCCTAGACTGTTGTATCTCCCTCTTCACCACATTTTCTTACTGGTTCACTCCTTCAAACTATGCTTAGGAAACTTTCTCTGTAGAAGTTTCACACCAAGCCACAAGTTATTAGCTCCCCATTCAACCCCCATTACAACTCATTTTAATCATGTCTTATTCCTTTTATATGCCAAGTAGTGAGTAGTATGCCTGCCAAATAGTTGGTCTTCTTCAGTATCAGTTAGTAGTATTGCTCTTTAGATACTTTAATTTTTTACTTGTTAATCCTTGACTAAATTCCAATGCTAGACCGCTGAGTTCCAGAAGTGTTACTAGCTTTTGTATTTTTATGTCAGTATAAAAGAATTATGAACTCAAGAGTTAGAATTTTTCTCATCTCAGAAGATTATCATCTATAGCACACATTTCTGTTTTTTTGGATTTCAGCTTGATTTAGATTAGGCAGATATTCTTACCATTTTTAAAAAATGACTAATTGCTACATCATAAGTGATTTAGAATGAAGACTCAAAGCCCATAGGATTAATTAGATTCATTGTTAACTCTGATATTAATATTTAAGTATAGTGCTAATTTGAAGAGCAAAGCATCAAAATTTAAAACAGAATAATCTTTTTCTTGGAGTCTTTGATGTATACGATATTTGCAGTTTTGTTAATTTTTTAAAATTTCTTTTTGTAAGGAATTGGAGGAACAACATAAAAAGGAAAAACTAAACCTGGAAGAGGATAAAGATCAGCTTCAACAGGAGCTAGAAAACCTGAAGGAAGAATTGGAAGACAAACTGGATTCAGCCAATCAAGAGGCAAGTACTTTATTTGCTAACGTCGTGTAAGTAGATGAGCCTGAGCCTGAGTGGAAGGTAACATGTGTAGAGTAAAAATAATCAGAAACTTTCTTTAATGTTGAATTTTTCATAATACATTAATTATATCTCACAAGGTAAAATTTTACTACAAGAAACAACTAAATTTGGAGCAAGGTGCTTTTGTGGAGGAAAGCAAAACAGAGGACAGTATCGCCTTATAGGAAAGAAAACGAGAGGTTTTTTCTACTCTTTTGCATAACATTGACTTCGTATTCTCTATGCCAAATCTTTAAACTTTTTAAAATTCTATATGAAAATAGTATTGTTTAGCCTGGAAAAGAAAAGATTAGGAATAAGCTGTAATAAAGTGTTATCAATCAAAAAAGTTGTGAATAAAATAAATGTCAAGACCGTTGAAAGGCTATAATATTGTTTGTTCCAGCACTTTTTCTCTTTGGTCCTCATTCACCGGTGTCCTCCAACAGCCCAGCTGGAGCAGTCCTCTTTCCTTTCTCTCCCAGCTCATCCTTCATGGGGCTCCTAGACTGGTGTTCCTAAAGCAGGTTCTGTTCTTGACGCATCTCATCCTGACAGCTGTTCCTACCTCACTAGCCTCATCTTTCCAAACAGCCTTTATGTCCTACTTTCTCATCACTCTTCTGCTCACAGAAACCACACCAAAACACGGGTGCCCCAGGCAGGTCAATGATTTGCAATTGGTATTATTTTAATTATCTTTAAACATTTATTCAGAGAGAAGTACCACGCATGGCTTTAGGGTACAGTGGAGAATTAGATTGTTATTGATTTTAGCTCAGTCTGTCTGTGATTGTTCAAGATCATCCACTGCACGCCTCTCTCAGGGTCTGTGATCCTTGTGGCTTCTCTCATTAAAACGTGGTTTAGTGACCATCTGTGTTTCTCATGCAAGTGCCCTGGAGTTCTCCTCCTCATTCCAAGTGGTTTAAGTATTCTTCCAACCTACTTACTGTTACCTCACTGAGAAGAGTTCTGATAAATACATAATTGATTTTCCTTCTGGATACATTCTCAGTTATGTTTTAGCACCCTGGTAATATTGTAGTGCCATTTTAGAACAGCTCCCCAAGAATATGCCTGACTCACCCCTCGTATGCATCTACCTTCCCTTCACCCTGGGGCATTTTCTTTCCTGCCTTACTTTGCTGGCTAAGATCTCCAGACATAATAAGCATTCTTGTTTTATTTCCAGCTCTTAAAATGAAGGATGTCAATATTTCACAGTTAATTATGATGCTTCTTTGAAGTTTTATTTTGTAAATGCTCTTTATCAGGTTTAGAAATCACTCTTGTAATTCTCATTTCCTAATTTAAAAAAACTCACAAATCAATGTTGACTTTTCTACATCTATTGGGATCTAACTCCTTTCTGTCTAACTTAAGTGGTACCTTTGTTGTTGTTCAGTTGCTAAGCTGTGTTCAACTCTTTGTGACCCAATGGACTGCAGCTTACATTAATCAATTTTATAATTTTAAATCAACCTTGAAGTTCTAGAAGAAGTCCTAGTTATCCATGCCAGCTTATGCATTTTTTAATTTTCTTTATAGTTCCACTATACATTACAGTTATTTTTAAATAGATAAATTAAGATTTTTGCTTCCCTGATAGCTCAGTCAGTAAAGAATCTGCCTGCAGAGTAGGAGACCCCAGTTCAATTCCTGGGTTGGGAAGAGCCCCTGGAGAAGGGATAGGCTACCCACCCCAGTGTTCTTGGGCTTCCCTTGTGGCTCAGCTGGTAAAGAATCCGCCTGTAATGCGGGAGACCTGGGTTCAATCCCTGGGTGGGGAAGATCCCCTGGAGAAGGGATAGACTACCACCCCAGTATTCTGGCCTGGAAAATCCATGGACTGTATAGTCCATGGGGTTCCAAAGAGTCTGACACGACTGAGTGACTTTCACTACTTCACTCTACATTACAGTTAATTTTAAGTAGATAAATTTAATATTTTTAGTTGGAGTTTCAATATCAAACTCTCAGAAATAATAGGATGAATAGACAGAACAGTAGAAGGATATAGTAGACCTGAAAAGCACTAGGAACAATTCAACATAATGAAGATTTATATAATTTCATACAACAGCAGGATACAAATTCTGTTCAAGTTCCCATAGACTGTAAACCAGGAGACACTGAAGCATATCCAGGGGCATTGAACAAATATTTCATAGTCTATTGAAATCATACAAAGTGTGTTCTTTTATCACTGTGGACTTAGGTTAGAAATCAGTATCAAAAGATACCTGAAAATAATCCACATATTTTCAAATGTAATGTGACATTTATCAAGAGAGGTCTTTGACTTAGCCATTGAAAGTATCAATAAAGTTAAAAGACTCAAAAAACACAGAAAGTGATTGCAGAGAAGAAAGTACTTAAATGAGAAATTAATATCAAAATGAGAAGTTAATATTGAAGATACTTTAAAAATCCCATGTATTTGAAAATTAAATGTCCACTTTTAAGTGATGGGTATATCTAAGAAGTCATAGCAAGGAAAATATTTGTAACAGAGTAACAATGAAAAGAAAATTTATCAGGATTCATTGCATGTAGCTGAAGCTGCTCAATGCAGCTAAATACAATGCAAAATCTTAAGGTATGAAAACAAATAATGGATGCATAAAATTTTGTGAAATTTAAACAAAATCTGTACTTTAGTTAATAAAACTATATTACATGTTAATTTCCTGTTCTGTCTTTTAAAACATAGTATTTCTTTATATTCTTAGATTTTTAAGCCTAGACTTGAGTAAGATTGCTTTGTGCTTTTCCTTTTTTACACCATCCTTTTCTGATTTTGGAGTCAAAGTTATACTAGCCTTATAAAATGAAGTAGGACTTGTGCCCTTTCTGTTCTCTGGAAGAGCTGTGTGAGGTCAAAATGCCTTTAACCTTAATGACATTGTGGTTCATATGAAAATAATTTTTTTTCTTTTTTTTTGAATATAATTTTTGAAACTTTTTAAGGTAAGCATAGTAACCTCGCATATGAGAGAAGTTTAATATTCTGAGTGCATCCACTTGTTTAATGCAATGTAGTCTATATTTCCGTTCATTAAAGCAGAATTTTAAGCTGTTTTCTTCAAATATTTTGTATACTTTTTGGTTTATCTTCTTGATTTATCAGCTTCTAAAAACTGATACTATGATGATGGATTTGCTCATTTCTTCTTTCATTCTATCATTTTCTTCTTTGTATATTTAGAGGCTTTTGTTATATGCATACAAATATAAAATTGCTTTAGCTACTTAAAGAATCATTCTTTTTGGCTTAGTCTTTGTTATTTAATATTGTATAAGCTGACTGATATACATTTTTTCATCTACTGATTTTGCTTTTCTGTATCCTAATGTTTACATGTGCTTCTTGCCAATCACCTATAGTTGCATTTTAAAAAATACCAAGTCAGAAAATTTTGCTTTTTAAATAAAGATTTTATCCCACTTATTTTATTGGATGGAAAAGAGGAACACTTATGGAAAGACAGGAAGAAAGAGTTAGGGGGTAGTTTGTAAAGACTGAAAGTGATTGTTTTAGAAAAAATTGGAGAACGTCCTATTTTCGTAAGTTGATAAATCTTGATACCCTTACAAGTGAAATAGCCTAAAAACATAAATAGTTCAACTATGTATTTAGGTGATAAATTCATGAATTCCAGAATCATATTAGAATATTAAGGGAAGCTAGTGAATTTAAAATCTCAGGTGGAAGATAACCATGTAATCCTATGAAATGATACTTTGGGATCACCCCCAAAGGCAAAATTGTAAACTGAATCATCAATCAATCTGACCATTATGGTCTTTTAAAATGTTCTTATAATATTTAAGTTGTTGATTTTCGGGACTTTCCTGGTAGTCCAGTGGCTAAGACTCCTCACTCCCAATGCAGGGGACCCAGGTTCAATCCCACATTGCCACAACTAAGATATCCTGTTTGTCTCAACTAAAGATCCTGCAGGCTACAACTAAGACGTGGTTCAGGCAAATAAATAAATACACTAAAAAAAATATTTAAACTGTTGATTTTCTTCTGAAAATAACTTTTGAAGTCTATATATATTTTTTCAATATTTTGTTAAAATGAAAATCATTTGGATTTGTTTGTTTTACAGTGGTCTATCACAGTTGTTATGCTGCCTGACAAATGGTAGTGGATCAGTAAATACTTGACATAACTAGTAGCCATGTTTTTTGAATCTGTCTCCTAAGGTAAAAGAAATAAAAGCAAATTTAAACAAATGGGACCTAATTAAACTTAAAAGCTTTTGCACAGCAAAGAAAACCATTGACAAAAAGAAAAAACAATTTACTGAATGAGAGAAAATATTTGCAAATGATATGACAGATAAGGGGTTAATATCCAAAATATATAATCAGCTCTTGCAACTCAGTATAGAAAAACAGCCCAGTCAAAAAATGAGCAGAATGGGCTTCTGAGTGGCTCAGTGGTAAAGAACCCACCTGCAGTGCAGGAGATGGTAGGAGACATGGTTCAATCCTAGGGTCAGAAAGATGCCCTGGAAGAGGGGATGCAGCCCACTCTAGTATTTTTGCCTGGAGAATCCCATGGACAGAGGAGACTGGTAAACTACAGTCTTTGGGGTCGCAGAGTCGGACATGACTGAACTGAGTGAGCGCACACACAACATACAATAAAATATACTGGAGTATATATAGAAAAAATGTAAGTAAATAGGTAAAAACAAAACCAAAATGAGCAGAAGACCTAGGTAGCCATCCACATGTATTCTTTGGAAAAAGGTCTAACAGGCACACGAAATGATGCTCAACATCGCTAACTATTAGAGAATGCTAATCAAAAACAGCGAGATACCACTCCTTACCTGGCAGAACGGTTACTATCAGAAAGTCTATAAATAACAAATGTTGGCCAGGATGTAGAGAAAAGGGAATCCTTGAACACTGTTGGTGGAAATGGAAATTGGTGCAGT